TCAGGAAGCCCTTTGGTGTACGCAGTTCTCCTAATCGTACTAGTCAATATCTGCTTGCTGGACGGACTAGCGGCTAAAATAGGGTTGGCCGAATTGCCCAAGTATGTCTATAGGTACACTACAATTATTGTTCCCATCATCGTACAATGAGCGTTATGGAACTGCAGCTGTCTGACTTCGGCACTAAGGACCCGACGAGAGTCGATTGTTACTTCTACTCAGCAATGAAGCCATGATCAGCTCTCTTTGTTCTAAATTATCAAGAGGAGATAACCGCAAAGCAGTCAATAAAGATTAGGAAAACCTAGCCATCCTCCAGGGCATCCGGTGGGTTAGGGTATTAATTTTCACGACTGTGTAGTTTCGCCGCCTAACACATTCGGCTAGTTCATTTCGACAAAGTTACATTTTTACCGCTGACCCTGTCGCCAAATTACACTGAAAAGCTGTACTCTCTGGGTACGAAATCATTTATCTTGGCGACTTAATCATGGACGCTTATCCCGATTTTACTGGCCCATCTTCATGAGGCAAACCCAAACTATTCAAGAATGAGTGCGCCACGTGCAAGACAAGAGAGGTAGAGATGTGACTGTTCACTGGAGATGCGAAAGAAAAATGAGTTGTCCAGCAGAGGCCGCAGGAAAACATAACAGTCGCGACACGGCAGGACTCTTCCCACCAAATCGTCACGGTGTTACTGGGGAAGTGGTGAGCTGTGGTGAGCTTACCATCTTCCGCAGCTCTGAAGCGAACAGGGCGCAGAGCCTGAAATGCAGCCGACAATGTTCCGCGCACACCAGCTAACTTGGGCGCACTGGTGGTACTGGATACGTACATGACAACGCACGGCGGGGTGGCATTCCTAATGTTTCAATGGATTTTGATATTTTGAAGGCTAGCTTAACATTTTCACTATGTACTTTGGCACCAGGTGTGTTAGAAACAAGAATTCGGCGAAATGCTCTGTAGTCGAAAAACCCCTCTCCCAATTGGTAATCACCTTAAGAGCAATTCAGTGAAGTGTGCCTGTCGAGAATTGTCCAAGCATCAACGTGGTTTTCGACTAGTCGACCGCAATGAAATGGCACTCGCAGATATGGTTTTCGGCGTACTCACCTAGTACAACCCAGCAAGAGTCAAAGATATCATCCCGAAATGCCAGAACGATGTTTGGAAGTTCGCGACCTGCGTTTGTGAGCATGCTTGAGCAAGTCACGGACCATGGCGATTGCCATCTCAAACCCACGCCGCCATCTTTCTAGCTTGACTCTTCTTGACCGTGGTGCTTTGTATCTGAATTAATATTTCCGTACCAGGTTTTGTCCGAAGGTGTCCCTTGACATTTTAGATTTCACTGACGCCAACATCTCACATTCTCTATTTACATCTATACTGTACCTGCTTGCACAAAATTGATGCATGCAAAATGCATGCATCCGGTCCGTCACACACGCGGACCCGCACGCAAACACCTATCCATCCACACGCACTCACCCACCCATAAACTCACAGTGCATGGAAACATCCCAACAAACCCACGCACACACACACACACACACACACACACACACACACACACACACATACACACACACATACACACACACATATACACACATACACCAGGCAGAATGGAAATCACAGTCAAGATTATTACCTGGCCGTGAGCTTCCATCACAGGATGCGGGATCACTTCAGAATCTCCGTCAGCGTTGGAGGAGAGGAATTCGCTAAGAACTGGAGTCAGAGTTTGCGCGTGATCCATTGCATCCCAAATGGGCAGACACCCAACCTGCGCATGCCGTTGCAGGTAGTTGCTGAGGAAGAATGTGAAGACGCTGCAACCGAGTTTCCCACACGACCACGTCTCCTCATTCTCACGAGTAGCTACCAACAAGTAAATGTTACTGGCAGGGCAACATTCCATTAGGCGGTCTCGAAAGGTTGGAAGAACACTGCCCCCTTTGCACAGGTCCAGAATGACCACTATGACCCTACGGAACAAGGGAAGGAACACAGGAAATCCATACAGTAAAACCTGTGACTAACGACCACCCGTTGGGACCAGAGAAAGCGGTCTTTAGTGGCAGGTGGTCCTTAGTTGGAGGTTTGCACCGCACAACCATAATAATTATGAATGTGAGACCGTCCGTGCCCGGCAAAGTGGTCTGTAGTGCCAGGCTGGTCGCTAGTCACGGTGGTCTTTAGTTACAGGTTTCACCGTACCTCGATGTTCAAATTTATATTGTACAGCTTAGCAACGCATTTATATGTTTGAACCTTCTATCCAGCCTGGGCCTAATACATCTTTCAGTGGGCACTCTTGAATTGACTGCCACCAGGACTCCAACGTGGGACACTCCACTGGAGCCATCCATCCTCCCATCCGTCCAGCAATCCATCCTTCCGTCTATCTTTTTGTATATTTTCTATTCTATTTACTATGTCCTCATACCCAGATTGAAAATAGTGATGAAAGATAATGGTAATGAGACTGGGACAAATGTGACAGCTACTGAGCAGGGGCTGCACTAAGACATAGCTGTGATTGTTGGGCATGGGCTCTGCCAACCTGAGGTCTCGGCATCAGGGCCAAAAACAAGCACCAAATCCCGCTGGTATCTTTCCATATGATCGAAACAATTTGAGATAAGATTCCCGGGTTGTTCTCACCTTGCCTTGGTACTCTTCATTGCATTTGCAAGCTGTTCCAAGGAAACCCTTTCTTGTTCTTGAATTATGCCACCTTCACCGCCATGGCTAGCTAAGTAGAAAATGAGGAGATCGCTTGCCTGCATTCACACAGTCCCACGGCAGATACAACCATAAACACAAGGGACCAGTGACACACACACACACACACACACACACACAAACATGCACGCACGTACACACACAAACATGCATGCACGTACACACACAAACATGCACGCGCGTACACACACACGCACACACACATGCTCACATGCATTGAGGCATATACGATCACATACACAACAGGCATATTACAGCAACATCCAAACCCAGAATGGATGCAAGTGATAGTTGTGCAAATTTACATTGTCTGTTCAGTACACATGCCCTGGAGGAATATCACGGTTCGCGTGAGACTCGGCTGGATGCCGGGTTTTCCGCATCCGTAGGAACGCCACCACCCTTAAAGAATCAAGGCGCATATGCTACTTGAAGTGCTGTAGATTTACATTTCGCTCAGTAATCCGTTATGCCTTCGCCTGGCTGGAAGATATTTCTAGATGCAGTGTTTTGGTGTGATGTCAATTTGGTTTCAAGTAAGCAAATGTTGTTCACTGCTACGCGACATAGCATGCTCGTCAACCAATAATTATACGAGCAGGAAACATAGCCCGTGAATAACTTCGTTCAACTTCAAAGAAAGGATGTTCACATGCTTGGCAATTAGGTCCACCGACCATAATCGTAGCAGATGCGTAGCTGGTCCCCATTTAGGCGGTGCAGGACCGCTTCGCCAAAGTAGTGTATCATCTGTATCATACTTGAGCACGTATAGAATTGCTCGTGCATGTCTTCATCGTCAATATGTGCATGCTGAACCCAGGTTGAAGGTTTATGGGGCAGGGGGGGGGGGGGGGCACGTGCCAATCCCCCTCCCCCACGCGGTCTACACGCCTGCGTAGATTACATGTAGGACATCACAGGGATTACCTTGTAAACCACAAGGCAGTAGATCCTATTGTAGGGTGCTAGCAAGGAACTGGGCTCAAACTGCCTTGCGTTACCTTAGGCTGTGTTTACATGAGAAATTTCAACCCGGGTCGAGATCACCCCGGGTTGAAAGTCCGTACGATAGACAAAGTAGGTGAGCGTTTACATGAAGACAGTTGACCCGGGTCAAATACTGATATGCCGCCAAAAGTCCACTTCTACAGTTCCGTTTAGTCACGTGAATCCTTTCGCGAATTTAGCATGTACAGTGATGTTCAAACCTGGCGCGAGGTACGCGCAGAAGTACGTTAGTACGATTTCTTCGATCCGGGTCAAGCGCAATGCGTCATGGAAACGCCCCATGAATTTTGTGTACATGGCGGGTTGAAATCTGACCTGGGTCGAACTCAACCCGGGTTGAAAACGCCTCCTGTAAACACAGCCTTAGAATGAGAAAAAGAGCCAACCAAGCAGGAGAAGGAGGGGAGGGGGGGGGGGCATAGCAGGAATTTTGAGAGTGACAGTTCAAACCGTGTATAGTAAAACCTGTAACTAAAGACCACCGTGACTAGCGACTAGCCTGGCACTACAGTAAAACCTGTAACTAAAGACCACCGTGACTAGCGACCAGCCTGGTACTACAGTAAAACCTGTAACTAAAGACCACCGTGACTAGCGATCAACCTGGAGCTACAGAGCACTTTGCCAGGCATGGACGGTCTCACATTCATAAATGGTTGTGCAGTGCAAACCCTCTAACTAAGGACGACCTGCCAATAAGGACCGGTTTCTCTGACCCCAAGGGGTGGTCGTTAGTTACAGGTTTTATTTTACATTGTTTACTTCGAAGACTTGGAGCGTAATTGACTTTTCTGATTTCATGAGAAATATGAAGCAAATCGGTATGTTCCTCACCTCTTTGGCTGACTCCTCCACAGTTCGTATGATCGATTCACGATCATCTTCATTGAAAGAGTCAACTTTGGCTTCAACCTTGAACGCTGTGGAGAGCAAAGATCCGAATTCCTCAGCATACTCTTTGTGTCTTGTGTCACCAGCTGTGTTATTCTTCTCTTTGTCAATACCTGAAATCAGAAAAACATGAGGCAAAGCACAAGCCAACATGTGCCTTTTTTCATGATTGAAAGAGGGCAAGAGTGGGAATAGAAACAGGTCATGCGCAAGGGCTCCAATCGGGTCAGTATCTCTACTAAGTCTTAACTAATCACCGTGGAGAAAGTCCACGGCGAGACTCTCCGCATTACCGACAGTATCACAGTGACTCGGTACATGGTCAGCAACATTCTAACAGGGAGCGCATTTCCATCGACATTGAGTAAGGGCATTTGTTTCCGAGAAATTACACCCAAATGGATGCCCCATTGTTTTCTGATCCAGTGGCACTTGCGAAACGTTCACAGTTGCAACCGACCGTGCCCACATGAGTCAAATACCTGCTTGAGATTAGATCTTGTAGTTGTAGTCGACTGTTCATATACATTTAGCTTCTAGACCCGAAAAGGGGGCTTCTGTCACTTCGCGTATTTAGACAGATGCATTTGAAAGTTGAGTTTCCGCATAAAGCGATGTATAATTCACGTATTGAAACACCCAGAACTCTGTGAAAGATGAAAATTTTGGACCTAGGTTTTTAGAGTGATATGCTGGGATACAGCAATGCCATGGTAAAGATAACTCAAATTGCTCAAAAATGACATAAGCCCCCTTTTTGGATCTAAACGCTCGTTTATATTATTATTGGATACCCCCCCCCCCCCCCAGGGCGTAAGCCTAAATCGAGGGATTCTCCGATCTACAGCTGTATTCCCTGGAATCAGATTGCATAAACAAGCAGACACAGTGCCCACATGTCGCAGTGTTGCAGCGATCTGCATCAGACCACAGTTCAGGTCTACACAGGCGTGGTGTGGTGCATCCCCCCCCCCCCCCCCCCAGGGCCATTGGCTTCTGACATCGGATTTCATTTCACAGCTCCCCGTACATCTCTTAACATATGCAGACTCCACTGTAGCCATCCACAACAACCATAATTATATCTTCGGAAGACTCTCGACCCTGCAGTCTCTAGGCTACACAAATCACTGAAAAAAAGAAAAAAATGCTCCGCACATTAACCATGATGCACATACACACAAACACTGTTTATTGATCTTCTTCTTTTTCTTCTTCTTTTTTTCTACTAAGAAAACAGCCCTACACTAGAAGACACGTGGAAATAAACACAAAACGAGACACAGGAGATGTAGAGACGATGTGCCGATGTACAGGGAGCAACTCGACCGACCAGATGTCCTGGCACCGAAAACGGGGCATCTGGACTTTGACATTATTAATGTAAACCAATGTTTGACATCTTACCAATACAAACGGCAGAGCTCTTGTCGGGATCATAACTGATGCACTTATTCTTCTCTAAAATGAGGTTTGGTGTTGCAAAGCAGTTCTTCCACACTTCAACCATGTCATCTACAGGCACAGATCAGGAGGAATCGTACAATGAACCACTGTCAAGCAAGTGAGGTTTCACCCCTCCACCACACCCATGCTTACACACACCCACACACACACCTCAGACCTCAGACCTCAGACATACCCATCGCGGAAGCGATGAAAGCGAACAGCTATGTTAGACATAGCAACTTGTGCTGGGATTACACCATTCAACAGCTTGCAAGGCTGATGAATTCACCACCACTAATGTTTAGCCTGGTATCCACCACACAGCTGATTGAAGTGGCTTTCTCTGGCCAGTGAATCCCCATTTTTCATTTTTCATTTTTATACACACGCCACACCACATACATGCACTCCGGCATACACTGGTTGTTGGTAACCACCCAGGAGAATGAAAGAAGAGCTAGGAGAATGAGAAAGAGAAGAAAGACGTGTGCGACCATAATCCTCGGGAATTGAACCCACAACCTATCGATTGGAAATCGACTGCACAAACCACTGCACCATATGGTATACACACATACACACACACACACACACACACACACACGCACGCACGCGTGCATGCGCGCACGCACACACACACACACACACGCACGCACACACACACACACGCACACACACGCACGCACACACACACACACACACACACTCACACCTACAAAAACAGACATACAGCTAGCTGCTACACACACACACCCAGAATCCTTTGACTTTTGACGAACAATCTCCATAGGAGATGATATGCATCTACGGTGGGAAGTATTTGAGGTGACACTTTAAATCGCCACTTCTCCTGAACGCTCTGCCGCATGCGCTGTGGAAGTCCTTGGGTGCTGCGAGAGGCAGACAATGCTGATAAATCCGCCTGCGCCATTCCAGGTGATCCTGTGCGAGCTGGTACCACTTTGACTCCGGGATATTCAGTGACTGCAAATCACCAAGAACCGTGTCTCGCCAACGCTTCTTTGGTCTATGCGGTGGTCTGGTTGCCTCAAGCTCCCCAAACAACACCTGTTGCGGAATCCGGGCCACGTCCATATGGGCAACATGACCCAGCGAAAGCAAGCAGTACTCACGCAGGAGAGTGTCAATGTCTTCAGGAAGACAGGCTCTCTGAGCGAGGTCAGCAGTAGTGAGACGACGGCCTTACTGGTCGCTCCGTGACACTCCAGGAAAAGAAGAATGGAACGAGTGCACTAGCGGGGGAAAACATTCAGGCAATTCATCTGCCGGGCCTTCGCAGGCCAGGTGTCTGCTCCATAGAATAGGGCAGGGAGGATAATGGCCTTGTATACGAGACGCTTGGACTTGATGGATAGACCACTGTACTGGAATATAGACTTCTGGGGAGCGCCAAAGGCACGAGAGGCCTTGGCAATGCGAGGATCGCAAACCGGATGAAGAATTGTTCTCCATGATGAAGGGAACAAAAACCGTTCAACAAAGATATTGCGCTACATCGTCTTGCCTTGATGTATGCGGTGGTGCGGATGCATACCGCGTCCGTTACAATGTTTACATATCTGCTTTCAGCCTTTGTTTAAATAGATATGATGCACCGTAGCTGCAGTTTAATATTACATTCTACATGTTACCCCCACATTTACTGATTGCGTTTGCGGAAATTGTTAAAATATAGACATACTAGTACTCAATCCACCACACAAAAGACTGATTTTAATATTTTTGATATTATTCCGTATCCGTCCCGGGTGGGACTCGCAGTGCTGCCAAATAATTTTCACCCAAAATCTGACACCTTTTACTGCATGCTTGGTCACATGGTGCGAATGTTTCCTGTTAGCAATTTTTTCAGAGAATTCAAAATATCGCCCAAAACAAGAAGAAAATTCGCTTCAGTGCCATGGTAACCAACACGGCACCCGGCAGTTCTCATGAATTTTGTAATGCATGAGTGCTTTTACAAGCACATGCATAGTGCTTTGTGCATTCAGTTGCGATCAAAAGTGAAAATAGAGGGCTTCTGCATGGGAAAGTATTGACCACTGACAATTTTGGCTGCTTTTCGGTAGGCCTTGACGGATTATGCTAGCATAATTTTTCGCATAATTCCTACCAAAATCGAATAATCGCATAATTCGAGGCAAATTGCATACGAATCGCATAAAATTGTAATAATCCGCCTGTTCGCATCATATTCCATACAGTTGTACATGTTCTGCAAGTACAAGTACAAGTAGATGCACTAGGAAGTTGTAGGTTTACGACTCCCTTGATAACATGTCAAGTCCACTACAATCAGTGATGGTCGTAGCTAGGTCGGACGGTGCGTTGACCCCGTTGAACTTTTGCTACTACAGTACAACGCCCTCTACAAAAAAATTCCCCTGTTATTTTGCACAGAACCATTATGCATTAGCAGCATATGGGAGCATAATACGGCATAATATGATAACTTTTAGCATAAAAATAGCATAATTCTGCAATTTTTTCAGCAATGCTAAAAGCATAATTTCACGAAAATATTAGCATAATCCGTCAAGGCCTACTTTTCGGACATAACCTTTTTCGGACCAGTTTTCGGAAGAGCCTTCAAAAATCGGACACTGTCCGAAAAATCGGACGGTTTGGCAGCACTGGACTCACGACGGCAGAATTGACTGGGAGCATGCGTGTGTGTGAGAGTGGGAAAACGAAATGAAAAAGAAAAGAAGAGTCTTGTAATAAAGGTCAAATTTACTTGGACAGCAGTACTAGACTAAATGGCTGAGCGAATGCTACTCCATTGTTTTCTGTCGCGGGCAAATCTGCTGAGATCACGAAGGCAGCTGTGCTTAAAAGTGCAGATAGGTGTGAGGCTGAAAGGCTGAATGAAGTAGGGAAATAATCACCCCATGATCTTCTACAATGTGAATGCTTCCCCGTACGCATGTCATTATGCAGCATAAGAAACTTCAACAAAACAATGATTCAAAGAGACGTTATTCAATATAAGTCATGCATTTCTACTGCTGGGTCTGTCGATTTTTTCTCTTTTCAGGCAATTCGCTTCCCCGACTGATCCTTTGAATTTCTACGTTCACTGATATTATAATCAAAGATTCCGTCCAAGGCAGCTGCCATGGTGTGTACCTTACCACCTTTAACACACGCTGTCCGTTCGCTCATTAACTTGCATGAAATCGTTTGTAGTGATGATCAAGCTACAAAACACTATTGGTAAAACCAATCCAGAGTCACCTCGGTGGAGACGGACAGTTTCTACGGAACCTGCCTGTCGCCATCAGGGTCAAATGGCAAGTCATTTAGCCGCTACGCCCGACAATCTCAGGAACACCAGTCACGTCCTCCTCCAAGGAACTCGAACCAGCTATGTTACTCCAATTCAGAACTCACAACGACACAAATAAAATACTTCATCGACTGAGTGACTTTACGTTTCGCTTCGTGTTTCTTTGTGTTTCTCTTGAAAATCGAGCAAAATTGAGTCATTCGCATGAAAACGTCTGGTTACATCAGCGAAACCTGCTGCTTTTCCCCATTTTCAAGCGTTGAACGGCGCAAAAACTGTGAAATCCCGTCAACAAAAATAGTGTTCGACGGGCGAACAAACCTCCTCGCATCGGTGTTGGTGCACATTTTCAGGGCGGCCAAGTTCTCAAATCGTCCTCTAGAGACCCTTACCTACCTCTGTGCGAAGTTTTAAGTCCTCCCTCTGAAGTGGCATACCCCGGAAAAAAAATCATCCTACAGATTTCGGCTCCCCGTCTATTATGTAACTGCAACCGTAGCCCAGTCAAGAACCGCGGAAGCACTTGAGAAGATCATCTGGCACGCCTTGACTACTGTCACCACTTCCACCTTTCCAGGCATAACACGCAGCGCTTTTATGGCGCGGGCATGGTCTATATCACTCGCTGGCCAAGCGTGGTAGAAGGATATCATTCTATGTGTGAAGTCACGCAGACCACATCGCACCTCGACGTTCCCCTGCTGTTCTAGCTAGCATAGCGAGCATCATATCCATGGCCTGGGCATGGGCGCGGCGGCAGAGCCTACGAACGTTTTTTTTCCATGACGTAGAGTATACTGCGCACGGCGGCGTAAGCACTGAGCAGCTGCGATGATGATGGAACTATGAACAACAAATCAATGAGTGTAAGTGGCACCTGCGTTGCTTGCGTTTTTTTTGAGACATCAGACCCGTGCAACTACTTGTGTTTCCTGGATTCCCTCGTTCAGGTAAATAAATTAAATAATCATTGATTAGCGGAGTCGCTACTGCGAGTAGATCTACTATGACTACTGTACACTACACTGATCACGTAGAAAGCACACTCCGAACGGTAGAGTACATAATTGAGTCTGGCGAGCTAGACACCAGTCAGTGAGCGCAATGCCCGCCAATGGTACGCATCCCGTTGATTTCGAATAACAGTAACAGTCCGTGTCTCATCATTACTCCATTTCTTACCTCCAACAGGGTTCTGTGCGGTGGCCATAGCGCTCAGGAGAAAACCACTCCTGCTTTCCAGACTCCAGGAAGCCAGAAAGTGTTTGGCTTCCCTAGCAAGCTGGCAGTTGCACTTGAAAATCTACGCTAATCTACCCGCTGCGCCACTTGGGCGTCCGCTTGGATCGATATCTGCTCGCGACTGAGTGATTCCACATGAAAACTAATAACAAGAAAACCATTGATCTGACAGTGCAATGCAAGGCAGTGGATCATCATGATCATGGAACGCGGAAATCGCTGGACTAGGCTGAAAGGATGCAGTTGCGGCATGAGCTAGACTGCGCGGTGACCGTTTGTTCGGCGCCAGTGTCTTTGCTCCTTGCCGAGATGTAATGCTGGTGTCTGTGGTGATCAGATGCACCAAGACTTTTCCTGTCATATTAGTACATGAGTGTAATGATTCTACTATTTCTACGTGTAGTACTAGCACTGTAGTACAGGTCGTCCCCCGTTAATACGAGTCCGGTTAGTACATAAACCCCGTTAGTACATAAGAAATCTCAAGTCCCGGACGAAACGTGGTCACTTCCATACAAATTTTGTCGGTTAGTACATAATCCGTTAGTACATAAACCCCGTTAGTACATAACATTTCTCCGTACCCGCATGTCACCTACCTCAATAGTACATAATTTACTGATCTTTTGGACTTCCAGTGGAGGCACATCGTGTTCTAGTTTCTACTTGTGGACGCAATAGGCATAGAAATCAGAGCGCACATTACAAACCGACAAAGCTCTGTTTTTTTGCCGAGTGACTGTACAGGTGCGGCTGGGCATGTACCATGTCAACTGTAGAATCTTCGCTAAATGTGACCGTTATAACATAATTTTTATGTTATATCGAGGGAATCAAGAATATCTCGCTGCCTAGTCATGGTAGCAAGAAACACTCAGAAAAGTTGAAAAAAGTGAAAAATTCTGGTATACAAGCAAGTTATGTACACTTTCGTTTAGTACATAAACCCCGTTAATACATAACATTTGTCAAGTCCCAGAGATTATGTATTAACGAGGGACGACCTGTACTGTAATGAGTCAACATTTATCATGATTATTATTGTACTTCGAAGTACAGTCATAATGATAACTGACTACAAGTAGTGCCTAGTGCCAGTAGTACAGTGTCATGCCTGACACTGAGTCTGACGTGACAGCCAGTGGCAGTGAGTCAGACCATCACAGTACGGGCCAACTCACCAGTACATACTAAATAGACCCTTTGCACAATAAGCGAGAGGGGTCGAGACGGGGCATGCTGTGCACGCGCTGCACACTTGGCATGCAACCAGCATGCATGGTTTGCTGCAGGACGTGATCAAGTTTCCTGTGACAGGCTGTGTTTTCACGGTCCCGACGCGATGTTCATGTATGTACTCCCCAGCCTTTTTTCATTTGAAGTTTTTTTAGTTTTGAAGGAAGAAGTTTCGAAATGCTTTCCAAGGACCACTGCTGGGTTCTTGTTTGCACCAACCGTCATCCCCAACGTTAGTCTAAGGAACCCACTTGTCTTTCCATGCGTTCCCTGGTGATGCTGGCATTCCACACTCTGGAATCCTGGCTATCTGGCGAGAAGAGGGCCGCAGTGCTGCGATATCGTTCACAGTGTTGTGCTCGGAACACTTTGTCCATGACGACTTTCATCCTTGCTTTTGCTAAGATAATGAACGCCCTGCCAAGAGACTCTGGAGCTTGAGAAAAAGGCATGACCCATCCCTGTCTTCGCTATTGGAAGATCGACTGCTTGCTGGCGCTGCTCGAGCTGCTGATGTTGAAGTGGAGAGAGACGCAGCCTCATCGCTCAGGTGCGCGGAGAAAGTCATCTGAGTTCGAGCTGTGGCTGCGTGCACGATATGACCGACTTTCACATTATGCACATAGCCACCAAAGTAAAACTCATGGACACTATCCATGGGCTTGTTCACTGGTACTACTCCATCAGCGCTCCCTCTTCACTGTCGTCGGCGACTTGCCCCTGCGTTGGAGACGAGCACGCAATCGCGGCATGGTGTGGCACTCACTCTGGGAAACAGAGGTTCATCACTCATCCACTGGGAGTCGGACGCATGAAGTGTTGGGCATGATGAAGGTACACTCGAGGAAGACTGGTGCCCTTCTTAGTTCTAGGAGCATCAGGGTTCTGCATACAGAAGTGTTCTCTACATCGACAGAGGAGAGAAGGTAGAGAAACGAAAATTATTTCAATCTACAGTAATCCGAAATATCCACTGAATGCGGAAAACTTACCGCTCCAACGACTCCTTCTTTTTCCAGACAGATACGCACCCTCATTCAGCAGAAAACTGTTCAGTTCCTTCACAGACCATTCTTCATTTGACAGTTCGTCCACGGGTTCCACAGCCATCGATGGCAAACCACTCGACACTCTCTCCTCCATCTCCAAAATGGAAAAATACAGTGTTCCACCATGCTCAACAACTGATACTCTGCACAAAAATCGAAGAGGATGCCCCGTCTCGGATCACGTGACCGTTATTGTGCAAAGGGTCTATTATACTACTGTACAGTCATGTACTACTCTTCAAGCAATGTTATGTGTCACTCACAAACGGCTGGGAACGGAACGACTCACCACTTCAACTAAAATACTGAATACAATCGTCATGGACTTCAACTTCAAGCAATGACTTTAACTTTTATTTATGTGTGGTGTAATGAGTCACACTCGGACGTACAGTACTACACGCACTTAGTGACTAGTACTATTGACAGTATTGTAGTTTAGTCTCTAAAGACTAAGTATATGACTAGATTTGAGTTCTACTACTTGTACTAGTAGTACATGTACCAGATGTACCGGTACTTCAAAACTAACGTGTTACTTGCAGGGGTCAAACGACTCACCCAAAAATTCCGACTAGATATTATTATACTACAAGTAGTCAAGTCAAGTAGGCGGAATCGCGCGAGCTCCAGTGTGCATGTGGGGAGCAAACCCTTTTCAAACAAATCATCGCCGTAGTCGCAACCACTATGTATTATCGTACTGATACATGTATGCCCAGCGCGGGCTTCCGACTAGCTCATTTGGAGGTGACAGCGTTGTGAATGACCGAGGGGCGAGGGCCCTCAACGACTGGGGCCGTCCAGGAGCGACACTGACTCATGCTGCTTTTCTGGTGTTCGCGAGGTGTTTGTCGCGCTGGAAACGGAGCGTCTCTGTAAGTTTGTATCCCTGGTGATGTTTGTGCCTTGAGAGCATTATAATATTATAGCAATAAAAACTGCTTTATGGCAGTTTTCTAAAAAAAAGTTATTGTGTTCTAGTCCATGGGCCCCGTCTAAAAAGTAAGAAATTAACGAAATGTGATAGCCGAAAATTAAAATTTCACACAAAACCTCACAATAATCACACACAGGATGAAAAGCGAGAAGACCTTTTCCTCTCTGGGTCCTCTTTCCTATTCATGCATGTTGGCGCAGTAAAAGTCACCCGTGAAGTGTCAGACTAAACAAGTGTTGAAAGCAGTATTTTTTTAAAACTAAGATCCTCAAGTGCTGTGATTATTGTGAGGTTTTGTGTGAAATTTTAATTTTCGGCTATCACATTTCGTTAATTTCTTACTTTTTAGACGGGGCCCATGGACTAGAACACAATAACTTTTTTTTAGAAAACTGCCATAAAGCAGTTTTTATTAGAGAGGTTTTGCATTCCGAATTTCGGAATTATTTTCGGAATGTGGCGGCAGCAGTCGAAAAAGTAGTCGAACTTTCGGAAGTGTGGTGGCGAAAGTGCATGGTTTTCCGAAAATGGATTTTCGGCTCTTTCATGTTTGGGAGTACATATTTGAATACAAAAAAGTGTATTTTTCATGGTTGTATTTTTGCTTTCTGCTGCTCTCGATTATTTGAAAAAATTTCCACGTTTTGTAGTCAGTTTGATTTTTGCTGGTTTTGCTGCTCTCGCTGATCTCGCCATGTTGACTAATCTTCTCACACTCCATCACACTCTATCTTCCTTTGCCATGGAGCCTACTGACAGTACAAGACAGTAGTTCGCCAACCTCGTCTTCAGCTGTTGGATCACTTGGTCCACCATCAGTACGTCCTCATCTTCGAACCGCACCCAAAAACAGTTTGGCCTGCGCACATGGATTTGATCCTGCTCAGGGAGTCGTAAAATACCAGGTATTTTACGACTCCCTGATCCTGCTCAACCCCTTCGACGCTCTCCATTTTGTTTTGCATGGCAACCCTTGGAAACGAAGTCGAATCAGATTTTCGGAATGCAAAACACTGAAAATACCGTTTTTCGGAACGCGCTTTTTTCGGAAAAGCACAGTCGAAAATAATTCCGAAATTCGGAATGCAAAACCTCTCTATTGCTATAATTTCTTTTGTTTTTTTAGCTAAGGATATTATCAAGAGTCCATAAACAAATGTTTATGCACTCTTGATATTATGATAATAATTATGTCACCAATGGAATGCCCTAAATAATGGCCTAGCGCCTCTACATGTACATGTGCATCATATCAAATTCAATACCGTATTATACGCATTAATGTGCAAGCATTTTCTTGCAGAAAATGGCACTAGTCTTGCATATTCATGTTCTTCTGCAGGGAATCATATGGGTAGTGGCGGTACGCGGTGATACTTTTTTTTATACGCAGTTCATTCTGGGTATGTTGCTGTTTCAGAATTTCATGACTCTATCATAAGATTGTCTTGACTTTCAGGAAATTCAGATTTCCACACCCTAAATCACATTTACTTGAGAATTGTAACCAGGTGCGTGCCGCAGATGTTTTTCTTGATTCTGTGTTTATGGTAGTCATGGGTTGTCGTGATAAGGTCATCCTGCATCTTATTGTACTGAAATCGTAATCCTGTTGATGTCGATAAAACTTTTGGAAGTACATGTAGTTCAATGACTTCAAAGTGTTACAAGTCCACGATTGTCTAAAACAACACAGCAAAGTAGGAACAATAAACATGTATTAATATGTAAACAAATACATTGTTGAGTCCGACACCTCGTTCCAACAACTACACTGATCCTGAGGATATTGTAAGGGGCAAGGATATAATATATTATAGTTGGAGGTATTGAGAGATAAACAAGGCACTCCATAATAATAAAATGTTACATGTCTTTGGTGAGTATGAATGATATCCAGTCAAACCTCTTTAGGACGAACATCAAGGGACCGATGGTATTAATTTTGTTCTGTGAGTTTGTTTTAACCCTATTTTATAACCAGTGAATACAATTATTTCTCCAATAGAGACACGAATATATT